GGCAGAGGACGAGATGGCTGGACAGGGTCATTGAAGCAACCAGTATGAAATTGAACCAACTCCGGGAGGCAGCAGTGGAAGACAGGAGGGCCTGGCATGTGCTCTGGTCCATGGGGCATCACGAAAAGTCGGACACGACTTAACAACTAAATAACAGCAACAGGATTTTTTAGGATGCTCGTAACATAAGCCCTAGCCTCCAAAAGTAAGCCCTAGTTAAGTGAAACCACACCATCCACCCTTGTGCAGCAGCCAGAAGGAGATGACATGACTGTCTTTGAAAAAAATGTAGATTGTTGTACATGAAAAAAAAAAATAAAACATCCCCTGAAAATAAGCCCTAATGCGGTTTTGGGGGCAAAAATTAATATAAGACCCTGTCTTAATTTCAGGGAAACACAGTATGTATTCCAACACAGAAGGATCTAGCAAAGTTTGTGGGCCATGGGGAGGTGAGAAAAAGGGGCAGCCGCGCTCCTGAAAGGCGGTTCCGGCAGCAGCAGCATTGCCTGGGTTCTCTCGGATCACTGGGTTTGAGTTCGAGTTTTGGACAGTGAAAGCGAGGGGCAAGTGCAAAAGGAAACCAAGCCCATGGTATGAGTGTGGGGTTACCATATCCCATTTCTCCTCATTTTGGTCGTCTCTTTTGCATAGGGCACCCAATGTGGTGTAACAGACAGAGCGACAGACTAGGACTCAGGAGACCTGGGTTCGAATTCCAACTCAACCATGGAAACTCACGGGGCTTGGGGTATAACTGGTAAATATCTCACTTACCTTGAAATCCCTTTCTGGGTGATTAGGATTTGGTTCTGACTTAGCAACACATAGCACCCATTTTGAAGCGAATGGCCATCAGGAGGCCTCATCTGTATATATACGCACATTTAGATGTTATGCAAACTAAATGTCTTAATGGTCCCTTTACTAATTTATCTCAACCTTTGGCATTCTTGATGTAGCCACCCCTGAACAGAGACAGCCAGCATAGCTTCATGGTTGGAGTGATCCACTTGAAATAGGGGGACATGAGTTCAAATCTCTGTCTAGTTACACACCCTACTCTGCGCCTTTCAGCCAGCCAAAACTGCCTGGCAGGACTGCTTTCAGAATCAGAAACGGGGGCACAGGAAGCATCTAAAGGATCATTGCACAATTACAGTTCTACCTTTACGTAACCCATAATTTTATCTTTTAGGTTAGGGGAAAAAATCTTATTTCAAATTCTCAGTGATACATCTGTGAATTACACACATGTGCAAACACATAAACACACGTTTAATAAAATTTTCATTCTGTTACTTTGCTAAAAAAACAAGTATGCAAATAAAAATTAAGCAGGTCAATGAGCAAAGGATGGGATTTATGTTTTATTTCACTTGAAACTGACTTTTAGTGAAAGTGAAAGAAGAAAGCGCGAGAGCAGGACCGCAGTGGAAGACCAAAAATCACAAGGACAGAAGAACTACTCAACTTTAATGCTGACAAGGAAAAAATCGAAATAGCGTGATATCAGAAGGAGACTGAGACTTGGAAGGGCAGTGATGAAGGAATTAGAAAAGGTCGTCAAGTGTCAGGAGGAAGGGTCCCTGGAGACCAAGACCAAGATTATTCCCAAACACCATGCATGGGGGGGGAGGCGAATGTGAGGAGAGCTGGCCATTAAAGAAAGTTGACAGGAACAAAGTTGATTCCTTTGAAAGGTGGTGCAGGAGGAGAGCTCTGTGCATAGCTTGTGTGTGTGTTTAGTCGTTTAGTCGTGTCCGACTCTTCGTGACCCCATG